GATGATTATAAAAAAATTTCATCAATGTAGACATGGATATATCCCAGAGTATATTGATGACATGCATAGCTACAGATCTTCATTCAAGGCTTAATGACTGCATGTGAGTATCTTTTAAATGGGGAGACATTTTCAAAAGTTTTATATATGAATGAAATGTATAAATATATAAAATTGACATACATTAATATTTAGGTTATGTTCTGGACAGTAAGGACAAGAATGTAAACTATAACAATGTTGCTTACAGGACAGCTGCCTGCCTATCAGCAATGTCTATTTTTAACTTCATCTGATGCGAAATGCACTTCTATTATCTAAAGCCACTGACATTTTGGGAGTTTATTACAGGAGTTAGCATTACCCTAACATATAAAGCATAGAAGAATATAAAGCTACATTTAATAAAATGCTACTACCAAAAACAAAACAAAACCCACTGCCACTGAGTCAATTTTGACTCATAGTGACCCTTTATGACAGAGTAGAACTGCCCCAAAAGGTTTCCAAGGTTGTAAATCTTTACAAAAGCAGACTGCCTCATTTTCTCCTGTGGAGCATCTGGTGGCTTTGAACCACCAACCATTTGGTTAGCAGCTGAATGCTTTAACCACTCTGCCACCACCCATGGCTATCAAGTAAATTCCAGTTCATAGTGATTCCCACTGGGTTTCCAAAGCTGAAATGTCTATGGAGGCAGATTGCCTCATCTTCCTCCCATGGAGCAGCTGGTGGGTTTGACCACTTACGTTCTGGTTAGTATCCAAATGCCTTACCACTATGCCACCAGAGCTCCTTAAATTCTATTTATGTTGTTATGTGCTGTCCAGTCAGCCTCGACTCATAGCGACCCCCTCCTTGGGTTTCCGAGGCAGTATCATTACGGAAGTAGATTGCCCAACCTTCCCTCTGAGGACTGGCTGGTGGGTTTGAACTGGGGTCTTTCGGGTTAGCAGTCAATTCCCTTAGGCACTATGCTACCAGAGCTATAGGAGTGTACTTAATGAGGATCCAAGAGTTAGTTTTAATTTGAAAAAAATTCTGGGACGTGAATTTCAGTCATTTCTCTTCAACATTATGTACTAATGTGACCTTGGACAAGCCATATACTGTCTCTGGACTAGTTGATATCTGAGTTACCCTTTGTCACTGAAAATCTACAGTTAGATTTGATACTTCAATCAAAAAAGACCTATGCAAGGTTAGGCTTTGCCACCATGCAGTCCCTGTAGCTTTTGAAAATGAAAGATACTTTGCATTTCCCTTGTACAAGTATATTCTTCCGTTACAACA